AGGAGCCCCGAGGGCTCGGGAGTGTTTTTGGAGGTGTTCGGGGTGGTTTTGGACTTAGGATGATATCAGATTTTCTGCAATTTTTACACAGGAATTTTCTTCATCGCGTTCGCATTAGTTCCCCCACGTTCGCATAGCTTCAGGTTGGTCTCCTTCGCGTTCGCGTCCCCATCATCGCGATCGCGTAGGTCAATTTCAGGACCCCCAGTAATTCCTTCACTGCGTTCGCGAACTCGTCCTCGCGTTCGTATAGTATTAGCGCACCCTACATCGCGTTCGCGTATGTACCTACGCGTTCGCATAGAGTAAACCCAGGACCCCAGCCTCTAGCCTTCTACGCGTTCGCGTTCCTTCCCACGCGATCGCGATGCCTACCCAGCTTACCCTTCGCGAACGCGGCCCCTTTCCCGCGAACGCGAAGGGCATTTTCGCCCAGTGATTTTTAAAGTTCAAAACATAACCATTACGGGATTATTCCCATTCTTTCATAAAACTTGTCTTCTTCAAGCTCTAGGGGCGATTTTTGGAGCTCTTCTTCACCAAAGTCTTTGGGTAAGTAATTTCCCACCTAATTCCTTCACTCCTCTTCATTAATTACTGAATTCCTAGACCTAAATCATGAAATCGAAGAAGAAATTAAGGGTTTTGGGTAGAGCTAGGGTTTTGAGAATTTTGGGTGATTCAACCTCAATTTGGGGTCGAATCTTAAGACAAATTGTATATTTGAACTCGTGGGGTTATGGGTGATTGGATTTTGATCCGAGCCTCGTGTTTGGACCATGTGGGCCCGGTGTCGAATATTGGTATTTTTGGAAGAATGCTAGGAAATTCATTTTTAGGCTGTGGGATTATGTTTTTGAGCCTTTATTGATATTATTGAATTAATTATGCCTAGATATCATTGTTTCGGAGTCGGATTGTATGGGAAAGGCGGTATTAGAGAGTTGATTGCTATTCTCGGACCGAGGTAAGTGTTTGTTCTAACTTTGGCTTGAGGGAATAGGACTAGGATGTTATTTGCTATCTGCTAAATGTGGAGTACGGTGTATAGGCATGGTGACGATTATCTATGCACCGGAGTCTAGCATGACTGTGAGTCTTAATTGTGTTTGACTCGGATTTTTGTGATACATCTTCCTTGTTTAATTGATAAGTTTCATATAATGTGAATAGTTGAGGAAGAAATGCGATTGGTATATTATTGGAGCGTTGGCTCGAACTGGAAATTGATAATTGAGAAAGAAGTGATTAAAAGAGGAAGTGTTGTGATTATTCCCTTGCCGGGACGCGTAGTCTATTATTGTTGTTGCTCCCTTGCCGGGATTTAAGCATTATATGTATTCTCCCTTGCCGGGATATTTGGGCTGTTAGTTGTACCCTTGCCGGGTTAAATCGGCTGTTATGTTGTTGAATTCCCCTATTGGGGCCTCCTCTAGAAAGATTATATGTATTATGAATTATGAAATGGGATCGTGTGGCACGCCGTCCACTTATGAATTATGAAATGGGATCGTGTGGCACGCCGTCCACTTATGAATTATGAAATGGGATCGTGTGGCACGTGGCGCGCCGACCACTTATGAATATATATACTACGGGATCGTGTGGCACGCCGACCACTTATATGAGTCATAGTATTGGTGTAGTTTCGTTGTTATATCCGTTGATCTGTTTTCACTGTATCCCCCCGAGCATGCCCCTCCCTAGTTTTATTTGATGTTTTCTGTTGTTATTTCCGTTGCCTTTGTATATATATATATATATATCTGCACAGGTTGTTTTTGGTAGGTCCTGTCTAGCCTCGTCACTACTTCGCCGGGGTTAGGCCAGGCACTTACCAGCACATGGGGTCGGTTGTGCTGATGCTACATTCTGTGCATCTTTTGCGCAGATCCAGGAGCAGCTTTTGGACAGCAGCAGTAGGATTGCCCGGGAGCTGTCTTCAGTCCAGGGACTCACGAGGTAGCCTAGCTGGCGTTCGCAGGCCGAAGTCCCTTCCATGTTTTAGTTTGTTTTCTTTGTTTCGAGACAAACAGTATGTAATATCATTTCAGACTTGTTTTTGGTACTCTATAGCAGTCCGTGAGCTAGTGACACCAGACTCTGGGTAGAAATGTGTTTCAACTTCCGCAAATTTTATTTCAGTTATATAAGTTTAAAGTCTTCCGCTTTAATTAAAATGCCTCTGTTTATTTATATTGTTAAAATGTCATCAGTGAAAGGTTTTGAATATTTGGCTTGCCTAGCTCCGACAGTAGGCGCCATCACGACTCCCGATGGTGGAAAATCCGGATCGTGACATTATCAAACAATATCACAACTTTGGGATCGTTCAAAAAATTTTGGTCAGAAAGATTTTTCAACCGTACGTGTGCAGAAATTAATTTGTTCTTAAATATTCTTAAGAAAACTTGCATCTACTTCTTTAATATGATTTAAAATTAAGATAAGAGTAAATTCCACTTTACCTCCTTAACCTTTTAGCATAAGGAAACAATACCCCCTTCACCTTTTGAACGGGAAAGGGAACCCCCTTTGACCCAAAAGACAACCAACGAAATGAAAAAATGGTCACCAAAATTTACAAAATGATATAACAATCCTTGTTCGGAGAGAAAACTAGTGTCATCACGTTTTAACCAATTTAATTGCTTTTTTTAGTTAATGTCATGATAATAACCATCAACCTACAAATATGAATAATATAATAGGCATGTACTCCGATGTTAATAGATTGGACAAAGGAAAAAGATCAAATATCAAAAGTAACTTACATTAAGTTGTATCTCACAAGTAACCTTTATTCTTCATTATTCAACAATTATGGCTAATATCAATTTGAGCTAAGCTTGTTTGATGTCAATATCAAAGCATATGAAAAAACAAAGTCGAATTCTCCTTTTTATGGTGCGGGCAGAGTTATCTGTAGCAAAGTAACTAACGAGAAGATAAATTAAGCTAAAACAATATTTAACCCATTACTGGTCTGTGAACATTATATTTTACTACAATAACTCAAAGCTATACTAGCTACTAGTTGGTGCCACACATCGATTTCGTGAATATTTATGAGATTAAGCAGCACCATGACTTAAATCTATTTTCGTCAACCTTTATTAGTTGGCACAAAAGAATTTGGAACGTCATTGGAGCCAGATGTTCGCATATTGAGGATAACAAGATCCACAAAATAAAATGAAATATACTATATGTATTTGAATCAGTTTAATAACAACCAAATTAAGTAATTAAGTTTCTTAAAATTGATTTAGTTATCTTAAAAGCTGGTTGAGTTTTCCAGTGATAGTTTTCTCATTATGTTTGTTAATTCTTTAGTTAAAGGGGGTTCTCTTTCCCATTCAAGAGTTGAGGGGGGTATTATTTCCCAACACTAAAAGGTTAAGGGGGTAAGATGGAATTGACTCTTAAGATAAATTTGTACATGAATGGTTGTGACTCTTAATGAAAGATTATGAAGGTTAGATTGGCAGTTATTTTAGGCGTTAGATTCTTTTTAAAAATAGGGGCAGGTTATTTAATAAGGGCATTTAAGTAATTCAACTTTTTAGTTTTGGGGTTACCATTTTTAATATAGTATAGATATAGAGATATAGATATAGATATATAGATTATGATTTTTGGGATTGATCAAATATACATGAAGAATATTTTAACTGGGTAGTTAAGCGAATTAATTCTAAGAACATACTGCAGGATATATTTTTGGTAAATTAAGAGGGACCAAATTTAAAGCACTAATTTTCAACGTTATATTGCGTATGAAAGAAGTGGGAAAATGGGATATCATATGATGATTCGTGGCAATGACGGAGAAGGTCAACAACTACCAAACTAACTTGCAAAAAAAGATAGTAATAACACGTTAAGTTATTACGTACCATCTTTCAAGTGCTAGTTTGGTAATGCAGTAAATTTTTGCAGTGAATACTAATTTAAATCCTTTCATAAATAAACCAAAATGATGTCGACATTTAATGTAAGAAAGTTAGTTTTGGAAAATTACTTGTATCATATCCACCTAAAATCTGGTTGGAAGAACTACATACTTTGTTTGTGGACAAGAAATAGCAGAAGAGACAAAAGAATATGCCAAATAATTCCTTTACTATATAGTAGGACTATCCAATAATAAAAAAGTTGGAAACAATAATTGGATTAATCTACAACTACAATTCACTGAACTGAAAAGTCATTCTAAAAAGATGTAATTATCTGATATAAGCAAATGGATTTACGGCATGGTTTTGACTTTTGAGTCAGAATATGAACAATTCAGTCTGAGTCATGCTGGGGTAGCGGGTCATCATCATATGTCATCTTCATGCCTTCTGCGAAATTCTCATATCTTATATTACTACTAGAGTAGTATTTAATTAATGTTAAAACCAAATATCCTACATTTTCATAGTTTAAGGAGGTAGGTTCCTTTCAGAGACAGAAACCATGTCCCTATTGTCCTTGTCTTATGTCTCTAAGGATTTCTGCCTCTGAAGTTTCCAAGAATTGGTAGAATTCTGCTCTGACTTTTCTCTCAATTGTTGGTCTTTCTGGTTTTCTTTTTAAAGATTTCATAGGCATTTTCAAGAAATGTGTATGTGGGGGTTGAGTTAGCACATGATGAATTCAAATGGTTTATTCAGATTTCAGAATATTTTAAAGATTTAACCTTTAACGTGCTAGTTAAGTCATGGAATTGATGTGATGTGTTTTTCTTGCAAAGGTTAACAGATTTTTTATATGTGCAAAAAGAAGTAGAATAATTAGGATTTTTCATGTTTACTAGCTATCAAATTGGTATACAACATGTATGTGTGCTAAATAGTTTCTCTTTGTGTAATAGAGCCTTGACAAAAAGATTGGTTTAAGTGATGGAAGAAAAAGATGGAGTAGTAACTAAAGTGGAAGGCCTAAGTGCTTTAAACTCTTCCACCATTGCAGTAGCTATAAATGGTAAGAGAAAAAGCAAATATGTAGTGAGCTGGGCATTGGACAAATTTGTGCCTGAAGGAAAGGTTTGCTTCAAGCTCTTATACGTCCGGCCCTGCATAACTGGTGTGCCAACTCCCAGTAAGTTGTTTCTCTTCAATGTATTATCTCCAAAGCTTTCTGGTATACGACAACTTCTTTCTCATTGCAGTAAGATGATTATAGACTTAAGGAAATTGATGAGCTCCTCCTAGCATGGTAGTTAGGCCAAAGTATAGATTAATATTCTTTAAGTCCAGTGCTTTAGATTCTTTGTCTATAATGATAGTAGATTCACATTCTTATAAGTCTAGTGCTTTAGAATCTTAGTCCGTGATGACTGTTGATCTTGCAACTGAGGTGTGTGTTATGTTCTTTAAATATCTGAACCTGTAGTTTAGAGGAGAAGGAAGATCACTTCAGTTTTTGTAGTTGAGAAAAACCTTTGTACAATGAGAATATGCTCTACTTTTTCTTTTTGGATGCTTGGGGTCTTTAGGTTCTGTCGGAAACAACCTCTCTGCCTTCTTAAAGGTAGGGGAAAGGACTGCGTACGCCTTTTCTTGCTGGAGCCGACCATGTAAGCTTTCTAGTCTACACGCACTCTGACATAGTGGCAATATAAGCGATATGCTTTCAGTCCTTCTACAAGAACACCTTCCTCTGGGACAAAATGCAAGCAGAAGGGTAAATGGAAATAACAAATCCTTGAGGATGCTAACTTGACCAAAGCTTCTTTCTCATATTGCAATTAGTATGTTACGTGAGTTCTTCATATGCCTTAACTTGACTTTTAAAGCTTCTTTCTCATACAGTGTGTCACATTTATTCAAAAATCTGTCAACAACAAATAACTTTTGGGTAACATGATATGCTATGGTTATGAGTTCTTTATTTATGCTTTTCTTCAGTGGGAAACCTTATACCTATTTCACAAGTGCGGGATGATGTAGTGGCTGCTTTCCGAAAGGATGTTGAATGGCAAACAAGTGAAAAGCTGCATCCTTGCAAGATGTTATGCACTAAACGAAAGGTAAATACACATCAGAAAAGTGGAAAATCTCCTGAGGTTAAATCGCTGATCACTTAACATGCAGGTCCTAGTAGAAGTTTTACAACTCGAATCAGATGATATCGCGAAAGCAATAGCGGAGGAAGTCTCCAAGCTTAACATCACCAAGCTTGTCATAGGTGCTTCATGTCGTAGCATCTTTTCTAGGTAATACAAGATTTATGCCGTTTCAAATTTTAATTATGCGCTACTGCCCTTTGATGATACTCCAGATGCCAATCTCTTTATTTTATTTTAGTTATATTTTTAAGGTATATGTTTGCCTTATCTTAAGGTATGTATTCCTCATTGCCAATCACAATTGTGAATTTTAATAGTACTGTCAATATAGTTGTAGGATGTTTGTGACAGAGCTAAGTAGTGACATATACGAAATGCAACAATCCGAAAGTATCTTAGAAGAAAAAATGCAGCAGAGAGGGATGGCACCCAATATGGATGAAAAACATTATTTGTTACATATATCATAAGATCCTTGTGCTCATTGACTTGTAATATCAACAGAAACATCGATTATGAACATTAATATGAATTCTCTTCCAATGAACTGTGAGATATCATCTCTGAAATAAACCTGGCATTTTATCTCCTGCCTTAAATCATATACCCCAGTTGTTTCACTTTTATTGCAAATCTCATGCAAAATGCCCCAAGTACCCTTCTTCGCATGTGGAAAACATTCTATACAGTTGAAATAGTTAATTAGGACCACGCATTTGTATGAAAGTAAGATATCATTCATATAATTATACTAGACGCATTAGTATGAAAGTAAAAAGAAGCTTCAGTTGTTCGTGCCCTGAGCTAGATTGAAGAAGTTATAAGTAATTTAAGGCATAGGTTTTCCTATACTCAGGAGGAATGGTGCTTTGTTCGTTTTGCGTGGATTTTTGAAGGGAAATGAGACGGTTATAAATGGGATGTAAACACAAACTTTGACAACTATGGGAATGAGGGGATGCTTTTTTCTCTTGTTCAGTAAATAGTTTAGTGGATTGAAATTGAATATAGGTGAAGTTCTTAATCAATTTTTGGAAATCTCTACTTCCTCGAGGTTTTTTTCCTTCACCTCTTCACTGGCTTGGCTCCTTGGGAGAGGGTACTTTCTAGCATCAATGTCATTTCCCTCAGTAACTTTAAACTCTTTATCTGATGTTTAGGGGACAAAGCTTATCCTCAAGAATCTCAGACAGTATTCCAAGCTTTTGTACCATCTATGCTGTTTCAAGAGGAAAGTTGTTATCGATACGTCCTTCTAACTCAGAGATAAATGGAAGCAGTTGGACTGAAGATAGCAACACAAGCTGCTCAATCAGCAGTTCAACAGGCCACTCTTCCAGTTTACTAACAGGTTTAAATTAATTGTTTGCATTTATTTATCGAGTTTATTAGCTCCATTTCTTGCTCCCTTTTGCTTCAGGAGCGCCTTGAATTATATGGGGAAGATGTTGGTTAGTACTGTCAGTGTCTGGATGCTTCATTCTTCCTTCAAAAGTACTTGAGAGATTTAAAAATCTTGTATCTTCATTTGAGCGCACATTAGAAGATTTTGAGTAGTTCAATGCATCTTATACTTTGCTATTTGCTTCAAGGTAGTGATGGAAGTCTACTATAAAGACAATGCCTTTCATAGCGTGCCTCAAAATCGTTTTCAGATTCAAAGTCCATCTTAAAGAAATATTTGTCTGTTGATTTATTTTTCTTGTTAGTGTTTCCATATTTAGTTATTTTCCAACAATGAATTCCATTTTCTAGAGAGACTTCAAGTACTGAACTGAACAATTTATCTGTCTTCTGCTTTTCAGAAAAGTCAGACCTGGACTCAAGTTCTTCGTACAGTCAATTCCGTTCTCCTTCACTGCCAATGCAAAGATTTCAAGCTCTTTCAAATATTAATCACAACTTTCCTCATAGAAGAGCAATCTCAAATGAAACCGTCCACCATAAGAACTATTCTCTTGATTTTGGATACAGCGAGGACGATGTCAGTTGTTGTCCCCAAAGATCATTTCTTAGTGAAAGGAATAACCTTGCTTCTAGTTTTAGGAGCTTAGTAACAGACTTTTATACAACGGCAGATGATCAAGCTTCCACCTCAGGGGCTCCAACAGATTTATCATTGAGAAATGAGGTACTTCCTGCCGCAGTTTGTTATATTCATTACTCATTGGCATTGATTAAACACTTTTATGTTTATGCTCAGAGCTGGTCAACTCACTTCCTCTGCATAATTAGATTGGTAAATGTTTGGTACATAGTGGCAAGAACGTAGAAGACTGCCACCCAAATTAATGGTGATCCCTCTTTGCTGCAGGCGGATATCAATTTTGAGCTAGAGAAGCTAAGAACTGAACTAAGACATACTCAAGGAATGTACGCAGTTGCACAAACTGAAGTACTTGATGCTTCTAGGAAGGTACGTTTAGGAAACAACGACTTTTAAATGTTCATCCGCTTATGTTTGATTCATATTGTACTGTGATCATAAACCTGCTCACAAACAGATGAATGAGCTTCAAAAGCGCCGGTTGGAGGAAGAAATTAAACTCCAGGAAATTAGTTTAAAGGAGGAAGAAGCAAAAGATTTGGTACGAAAAGAGAATGAGGAGTACAAAGCTGCAAAAAGAGAAGCTGATTATGTGAAGGACTGTGCTGAAAGAGAGGCTGCACTAAGAAAAGAAGCGGAACTATTAGCCTTACGTGAGGCAAAAGAAAAAGACAAGCTTGAAAATGCCTTGACAGATCAGGCACATCAGTACCAGGAATTTACTTGGGAAGAAATCGTATCTTCCACCTCTTCATTTGCTGAAAATCTTAAAATTGGTATGGGCGCATATGGAACCGTTTATAAGTGCAGCTTGCGTCATACTACAGTCGCCGTCAAAGTTCTTCACTCCAAGGGATCTGACCTGACGAAGCAGTTTCAGCAAGAGGTATGGCAAGTTAATGAATGAGAATTGAGTTAGCCCCCACTGTTTAAGGATTCTTAGAATCTGCTCTTTTGTATTTTTCAGCTGAAAATATTGAGCAAAATTCGTCATCCACACTTGTTAATCCTTCTTGGCGTGTGCCCTGATCGTGGTTGCTTAGTATATGAGTTCATGGAAAATGGTAGCTTAGAGGAGAGGCTGTTCAGGAAATATGATACACCTCCAATTCCGTGGTTTGATAGATATCGAATTGCATGGGAAGTGGCCTCTGCGCTCGCCTTTCTTCACAACTCCAAGCCAGATCCAATTATTCATCGTGATCTAAAGCCAGCTAACATATTGCTTGATCGTAATTTTGTCAGTAAAATTGGCGATGTTGGCCTGTCAACAATGATAAATTCAGACGCTGCATTATCCACCATTTACAGAGATACAGGTCCTGTGGGAACACTTTGCTACATCGACCCTGAGTACCAAAGGACCGGAATGATCTCTCCAAAATCTGACGTTTATGCACTTGGGATGGTTCTCTTGCAGTTGTTAACAGCAAAAGCAGCAATGGGACTTCCCCACATTGTTGAAACAGCAATCGATAAGGATAGTCTAACTAAGATACTAGATTCAAAGGCTGGTGAATGGCCATTAGAAGAGACAAAGAAACTAGCAGTGCTAGCACTTAAATGCACCGAGATTTGTCGAAAAGACAGGCCTGATTTGAAAGATGAAATTCTCCCTGCGTTGGAGAAATTGAAAGAGGTTGCTGATAAGGCTCGAGATTCTGCCTCAACTACCCGGCCTCCTCCTCCTACCTACTACTTATGCCCTTTGCTCAAGGTGTGTCTTCTCTACTTCCTGTAAATTTGACAATGTGATAATATGTGGCACACGTAGTACCAAACATTTATTTGTTATGTTCTACCAAGTTTTTCATCTTCATTTCTATGTTGCAATTGTTTGTTTGTCACAGGATGTAATGGAGGAACCTTGTGTGGCAGCTGATGGGTATACTTACGACAGGAAGGCGATAGAAACATGGCTAAAGGAGTACGATATATCACCTATGACAAAACTACCGTTACCTCATAAGAACCTTCTACCAAATTATGCACTGCTTTCTGCAATTCTGGACTGGAAATCAAGAAAGGATGGATATATTTAGATTGTTTAGATAGATCTTTTTTAGATTATAGTCTAGTTTAACATAGCTTATCAAATATATGTGCCTTAATGGCTTTACAGAATCAACCAGCCATTAGATTTGGATGTTTCTTTGTAAGTGTAAAATGTGAAAGTGTGAAACTGAGTAAACAGTCCAAGAGTATAGTCATGTTAGGGTGATAAGAATATGTGAGAAGAAAAGAGTAGTGCAAGGAGAAGGAAGAAAGTTGCATATGATATAACATGCATCAGTCTTGAACTCCTGTATTCATCAGTGAAGTTGCAATGGTCATGTTAAGACCTCCTTAATACTAAACATAGCGTTTGCAATCTCCTTGTGAAGTTGGCATTTTATGGATTAGACTTCAGATTGCATAAAATTCTTGTTTCTGTTAGAGTTTTGCAAAAGGAATGAATTTGCTTCTCATGTCTTATCTTTATCTTGGACACTATATATCCACAATGTATGAATCGCGTTATCTTGGACAGTATATATCCACAATGTAGTCATTAAGATAATCACGTTTAGGGTGAGATTTATTTCTTAATATTTTTTTATACTGGTTTTTATATGTAGATCAATTGACCAAACCCCATTATAATATCCTCTTTTAGTATAATTTTGTCGTCTCATTTATCATCGCCAGGTTTGTATGATAGTTTTCGCATGACATCTTATTATTTCGATCCCAACAATTTCAACTGAGGCTAATTAGTGATTTAAACTTGATGAGTTCGATCTTTAAGGTTGTTACCATTCAATTTATTTACTTTTAAAATTATGGGTTCAGATTTAATAGTTGTTGAAATTTTGTGGACTTTTTACACACACACATACATATACATATACATATATATATATATATATATATATGTAAAATCCACATAGAAAATACTAGGTTTGGAAGAATCCGTTGCCTAAGAGCCGCATCTGCCACTCCATTTGGACCACCCTATCATTTTTTTTTTTCCTTTTTACTGGAAATAAGAAAAACATATTTAAAAAATTTAATGTTATCATATTTTGCACACTAATTCATGTTCTTAGGTTTCCATATTTGGTATACCAAGCGGAACTCAAAAGGTAAAGTCATAACTTTATACTCTTGTTGTTGAAGACATAATTAAGTAAATTAAGTTTGCTTTATCTAATAGCTTAAGCTTTTAGATGAGATGGTCACACACTTCAACATGGTATCAGAGCAGGCACCTGGGTTTGAATCGCACCGCCACCCAATATCAAAAAGAATTTCCATGTGCTTGGCTTACCAAAATGAATCAAGCCCGCACGTGAGGGGGCGTGTTGAAGATACTTTTAAATGAGATGGTCACACACTTCAACATTCGTTCCTTTTTTAACGATCGGGAATAAGAAAAGTGCATTTGAAGTTTTTAGGATATCATATATTGCATTACCAAGTGCTTTTTTCAAGTCTTCAGGTTTCTCATTGTTCTGCTGACCAAAGTAGGACTTATAAGACAAATTCATATCTTATAATCTCGTTCCTTTTAGATATCTAAAGGCAAATGCAAAATGTTGTTATATCTTTTTATCATATTTTAGTAACATATACTTGAAGAAGCAATGTGAAGAATATGATATGTGCCAAAATGAGTAGCAGGAAGATTTTTTAATTTTAATTTTTGATTTATCACCCGATGCTCGATACCTACATTAGGGGTCGATTAATTCGAGTTCCATAAGGCCTATTAACAAAATTCTCTTTTCGATCTCAATTTTTGTCTTTTTTCTTTATCTACACTTTATCCAACAAAATCCTGTATTACAATGGACAATAATACAATATATGTTTCTTCACTTCGTTAGTGGCCCTTTTTCGAAAAACCAGATCACCACTATCTTTAAAGTAAGTAGATTAACCATGCACTATCTATCTAAGCTTTTCAAGGAATGAGGAAATATATTAATGAATAAATTTAATAAATATATAGACAAGTTCATGAAAAACAGCAGTATAGCCAGGTGGATGGTGGGGTTTACATTGAGTGTGCTTTCTTAGAACCTCCATTTATTCCACTATATAGTAAAATCCTTCTTCAAGAAGTAATTAATATACAGTTCTTCTCTACTATAATAATTTAAGTATTTTAGAAGATAATTCAATAGTATAATAAAGGAGAAAGTTTCCTTTATTCTTTCCTTTGGGCATTAAGCATGCACTTTTCATTGGGCGTGTTGGGTGAGATAAAGGATCAGAATAGGCAACACTGCGTGCAAAGTGCTTAAGGAATGACTCATTATAATTTTAACCCAAACAGCATTATAAGCAACTTGACTTGATGAGATATGGAATTGGTATTATACACTCACCAATTCAATCAAAATGTTTCTCCGACAGAGACCACCAAACAAGCGCCAGCTAACCTTTACATAGGATGTCCTTCTCTTTTTAAATTTTTACTTCCTCCCTTCACTTTTACTTGGCAAGTATATTAAAAACAAATTTTTATTCTTACTTGTCATTTTACACATATCAAGAGAAGACGATTTTTTTTCCTATTATACCCACAATATTTATTACTCATTTCAACTCATTTTTTCAAATCCAATAAAAAATACATCAATTAATATGGCTATCATGATAAATTATACACTTCATTTATTATTTCTTAAGGGGCGTAAAAAGTCAAAACGTACCAAATAAAAGTGAACGGAGGGAGTATATGATATGGTGTTCCGATCAGTTTTCGCACACATCAACTATTTTACAAATACGATTATGCAGATGAAAAGAAGTTTATTTACTTTCTTTGTCTCAATTTATGTGATGATGTTTGATTGGACACAAATTTCAAAAAAGAAAGACAAGAAATTTATTTTCTAAAACAAAGCATAGAAATGTTACGACCTAAACCGATGGGTCGCGACGGGCACCCGGTACCTTACCCAACCGAGTACCAAAGTAACGTATCTTTCGTATCATACTATCATAGATAAATGAAACGGAAAGGCTGCTGTGAGATAACTAGATTGAAACATGAGGGAACACTAGACATAGGGCGACCCAACATGTAAAACAAACTTATATATATGACATACGGGCCTATAAGGCCAAAATGATCACTCATACACTGAACATAGGCCGACAAGGCCATACAATCTTTCATATACATGACATATGTCTACATGCCTCTAAGAGTAGATCAATACCACAAAGGGTCGGGACAGGACCCCACCTTAATAATCAATGCACGTCCAAATCATACTGACCAAATAAGCAACTCCGGAGCAAATGGAGCGCACCAACACCTTCCGCTGAGCTGATAGCCTACTCGGAGGACTCTCGACCTGTCTATCGGAACCTGCGGGTATGAAACGAAGCGTCCCCAAGCAAAAGGGACGTTAGTAAAAATAATGTAACGAGTATGTAAGGAATGAAAATCAGTAAATAATAGACATGAGAGAAACATGGAGTAAAAGACTCAACATGTAAGTCTGAATAGCTCTGTGAATCATTTAATATTTATAATATCATGCATATGTATATAAATGTCATATGATGGATGGGTATATGCGTACATAACATCATCAAACCTCTGAGGGCATCCCATCCTATCATCTTGGCCACTGTAGGCAAAATCATCAACATATACTAGCTGATCAGGCGATGGCGTGTATATAAAGCCATAACCTTTCCTCATACCCCATATATATATATATATATATATATATATATATATGTATATATATATATATGTATGTATATATATATATATATATATGTATGTATATATATACGCGTATACAATGCCATATGGTCATGGGTCAATGTGCATGNTATATATATACACGTATATAACGTCATCTGGTCATGGGTCAATGTACATGTATAAATGAATGCAATGCATGAGAAGTACGTCAATAAAATCTCTCGGAACATCATAAGACCATTATGCCTTTGATTAATATCATGAAATAAACTTTATCAACTTACGTATTTTCTGAGACCTATAAACAGATGATAGAACAATAGGATACATGGGGAACCAAGAATATAGGCATCTCTAGTATTTCTATGATACATTTGCTCGTTTTGTTTGTATCGTATGGATCATGCCAAAAAGAAAGAAGGGATAGCCTTAACATACATGAACCGATTCTCTTGACAATCCCTCTAACACATGTTAATTGCGGCAAAACATGTAACGGCGGATCGAAGTAGGGGAAAATTCGTATGATAATCTTGAGAAAGATTGCACCGTACTCCTTTAGAATCACAAAATCCCATAGCTATTATGCTAAGAAGTCTCATATGAATTTTTGTTGAAGTAACTTGATGTTTAGCTTAAAGCGTATATATTTTTATGTATATCGCCTCATATTTTACATTTGTTTCTTGAATTTGGGATGTTAAATGCTATGATTTATAGTAATTTGAAGTGTTTTTATGTGCAGGAATGATTCGGGAGCAATTGGGAGCAAAACATGCAAGGTTTGAAGCTAAAACGGACAAAATCGGAAAAGAAGCTAGTTGGGCGCCACAAGCAGCGCCTGGAGCCACCTGTGGCGCTGAAAACAGTAGCTCAAAAATTGGGGCGCTATGGAGGGCGCCTGGCGCCGGGCTGGGTGCCGTTGACATGATTTTTGTCCTATTTTGCCCGGGACTCGGTTATTTCGACCCTAAGACGCGCCCAACTCATATAAAAGCCAACCAAAACTTATTTTGAGAGAAGAGGACGTTTTTTAGAGGAAAACACAAGCACAGAGCCGCCGTGGAGGCCAGAATTCATCAAGTTTCATCTTTCTTCCATCAAACATAGTAATTTTTATGTTTCTTCGTATGATTTGTTGTTTTGCTACGATGTCTATGTGGAGCTAAACTTCACGTTCTAGGGTTGTGGTTCTTTCTTGACTATTGTTATTGGGATATTGGTTTTGATTTCTTAGTTTATCATATTGGTTTATTTATTTAATCCTGCACTTAATTATTTGATTGCTTGATCACCAATTGAATACTATCTACGAATCTTGAATTGAACTCGAAAGTGGGAATTCTAGAATGCATATAGGATTGAGTAGAGCAAGTTCTTGAACCTGGGCATCGGGGAACGGATTCGCGGTTAGGATAGACATATACCTAATTGCCTTGCTTGGTTAATTTACAGGAATTATAAATGCGTTCTTGTTAGTTCTAATTCCATAGACATATAGGAGTTAGGTTAGCTTGAATAGGCGAGTAAGAACTCGACAGATTCTTATGAGCAATATTAACCCTGTTAACCAATAAACTAGATAAATTAGTTAGTCAATTCAATTGAAGAATACAATAGGAATGTTAGATAGCCCATAACCCTAGATCGTTTTCATTACATTGATATCATAAAAATCTTCTCTTTTCTGTTCAAAGTTCATTATTTATATTTCTTTATTTAATTAGTTTAGAATCAAATATTTCTAGGTTTAATTCTTG